ACCAGCTTGTTTAGATTCAGGCATGTAAGCCTTATAACCACATTGCTGCAAGAATGGAATTGCATCCCTAAAACCTCTATCAAGAATAAATACATCGTTTTCTCTAAAATAGGTTCGCAGTGGACTACTATCGTTGAACAGTCTAAGAATTATAGAAGCATCTGATTCTGTTGCAGGATATGGTCCAAAAACATCAAGGATATAACCATTACAGCACACTATTAAAAATGGCTTAACTAAGTTACGATACTTATGTAAACTATATGTTTGCTTCTGGTATAAGTAATTACTACTTTTTTGCACATAAATGTATGTACCATCACATATTACTATGGCTGGCATAAATTCAGGATCCATATCTGGATTACCAAACAAGCCATTTGGTATTGTCAAGTTATATTGAGCAACTTGTTGAATGCATAAGGTATTTGTCCCTAAATGCAGTTGGATGAATTGCTCTTCAAAGCACTGACTTACAATATTTAAGTGATTGAACACAGTCGATGAAGCTACATTAAATAGAGAAGCTATGCGTTCATTGCTATCACCTGTACGAAGTTTCACTAAGAACATAGCTAGACTTCTTTTAGGTGATTTAACTCTTTCACTGATAGATGGAATTTCAACTAGTAACTGTTCAAATTGGTATTTGGTAAATCCTAACCAATATTTGCATAATATTGAATTATGTTCAATGATATTTAAAATATTATAATTTTGAGTAACACTACTTTTAAGTAAGGAACAAAGGTTGTCTATCTGAGATGCAGTAAAATCTGAACAGTTACTACTCGTGAATAAATTATTCCAATCATTGTGGGGTTCATTTAAATGGTATTCACAAATACGAGCGCACAGTGGCACATAAAATGAGTGATCTATCAGCAATCTCTCTTTAAGTAGTTTAGGTATTAAAAATCTAGATGAATGATTACATGACTTAAAAATACAGTGACGGGAAGTAGAAGCAGCACGCTTATAATTAGCCATAGTAATTGTTGATGCCGCTCTGGAAATGGCAGGGGTTACAGGTGCAGGTATAATGCAGGGCAGGGGGTGGTTGTGGGATGTTACCGATGTCTTCTATATTCATGGATTGTAGCTCAATATCCCTGTTCTCATTTTGTTGTCTCTGTCTCCATACAGCTCTGGAAGCCCTCAGCCAGCAAGGACTGCATACTCGTTCTAAACGATCCACCTGAAAAAAAGTTATTTTTTATCAACTAACAAAATGAACTATAGTTTTACAGTGTCTACTCTAAATATTAATAATATTTATTATTGTTCTATTTATTTCAATCTTTCTAACACTAAATAGTTTTAATGTCTTTTAAAATTATAAATATTAGCATGCAATTGTTTCCCCTCATAATATTTTTGTGGCACTACTTATTTAAATAGAAATAAATAATACATCACATATCAGACAAGAAGTAATTATTTTAGAATTATTAACAATATTTCACTAAGCCCAAGTTCTTTAAAGTTTCAGATAACATTGAATGATTAAATTGAAAAACTGTCATTCTTTACGAGTTGGGGTACTTTCAACTAATTATAAATAATTTTGTAAATCTTAACAAAACAGAAAAGATTTGATCTTGATTCTCTAGGGTGAAATATCGATTCACTAGATCGATTTAGTACTATATATCGATATGACATTGACAGATAAAACGTCAAAAACGTGAGAATATTTAATTAATTAGTTGTTTACCAATATTTTCAAAAAATAAATAAAAATACTTCGATGCTGCTCCGGTAGCAAAACTCGCGTGTAGGTGCTTCAGATAAACTCCCTTGACGCCCCCCACAGTAACAGAATCTTCAAATTGAGGCGACCGAATTGTAAACCCAACCCGTTTTATTTATACTAATGTCTTTTAAGGTAAAAAATATTACTTGTATAATAAGTACAAAAGCATACAAATATGGGTGTAAGATAAGGAAGAAGTATCGTTCATCTAATAACTAAAAATAAAAAAATTGGTTATTAATGGCAAATATCCCCCCATAAGACAATCTATGTTCAGCAGTAGACTTTTGGTAGACTGTAAATTTAAAGATAACCTGTTAGTGAACTGCCATGTTGAATGAGCATAAATATCAGACCAAATTGTATGCAAGGTGTCTGATTTTACAAACATCAATCTGTGTACCAAAGCGATTGTGGCAAATCCTCTGGGCTGCCTATTTGAGGCAGGGGACCATTTACAGCCTTTTAAAATAAGGTAAGTACCTGGTGTGATGGTATCCACTGCAAAATAATATCTCTTTCTTCAGAGTTAATAGGCACAATCCGTCTACGGTGTGCTCTTAACATTGAAGATCCACATGGAATACAAATATTCCTGTACCCAAATCTTCTAATGGAGTGAGCTGATGCAACACTTTCTTGCAATATTCTTAGGCAGTTACAACAAACTGCATCAAGTGGGTGTAACTGAAAAAATCAGGAATTAAAAATAAAAGAGTAAATAAATATTAAGTTCAGATAAATGTACATTTTGAGGAGGGAAGCGAAGTTGGCATGAAAGTGAATGTTTGATGTGGAACCCTATATTATTTGAAATACAATACATTTTCAATTAAAAAAAAAATTGGAAATCCAAAAGACAAATATCGATTAATATATTATGATTTTACAATATTTACAGTATTTCAGGTATATCATATAGTGATAAATAAACTTTATAATATTAGAGTATTATGGAGTTGTGTAATATTAGTAATATATGGGGGAGGCCTATGTTCGGCAGTGGAGTTTAATTGGCTGTAACGGTAATATTACAGTGGATTGAAATATTTTTCATTGCACAAAATAACTTACTTTTCTATTTACATAATATTTTATCCTTAGAATAAATATTGACACATATATACCTATACTTTTTCGACTTTGATTTCTGATTGACTGACAAAAGATAATTAGACACACATAACATGTGATACATCATACCATGCCACAAAAACTTCTTTTGTGTATATTGTGTGACTTTATTTTATCTATTATTTAAATTAGATTTCACTAATAACATAAAACTTCAATACTTTAACATTTAACACATTAGTAAGACCTGTGTTTATCATTTGTTAAAGGTTAATTCAGTATAAGTTATAGATTTTACAAAATTCTAGGAGGAAAAAATAAACTTTTATATTACTCACATGGACTTTTACTCGTCAGTTTGCATTTTCGAATGTCATTGGCAAATTATATACATAAATGTGATATAGGTATTTAATATTTGACTTACGTGCATGATATAACCCTTAGGTTAAACATTTTTTGCATCAATTAGACATTAACATACTAATCCACTTGTAAGCAGTAAAACTACGTGAATTTTCATTTTTAAACTTTTACTTTAACACGAACACAGTTTACATCAATTTAAACAAACAAGTTTATGCCATATTATATTTTTACAGTCAATGCCAGTCAATGGAGTCAATGCAAAGAACTATGCCTGTAAGTTGGTAAATAGCAGGAAAGAATGCAGTGTCATCTTGTGTCAAAATATAAAATAATTCAATCAATATAATATATCATTTATCAATTTAATATAACGAAAGATTAAAATTATAGCTATAGAAGGTATGAATTTATTAATAATATGAAGGGATATTTATTATTACTTTTAAAAACTTAAAATAATTAAGTACTTAATCATGTATAGATCGTTATGTGTGCCTGGAGTCTGTGGATCGTTTTCTTTCGTATTATTTCTAAAAAATCGTACCATATCCCATATTATTCAACAAAAATAAAAATATTAAGTAATACATTAATAAAGAAAATATATAATTTTCGTTTCCGCAGTATAGTAATATTGTTGGAATAAAATCGAGAGTAACAAAAATAATATATATTTCTCATAAAAGTTTAAATCTAGATAATATGTAAGTAGATAGATTGTATAGTGCAGTGATTAGCTTTCCATGAGATAATATTATACCTACCTCATGAGAAATCCACACAGATAAAAGTTGGCGCACATCAGCAGTTGTCTCGGCCAGTAATTGTCTTCGCACACTGCGTTGAAACCTGACTCCACAATTGCAACATACACTTCTATTTTCATTGTATGCTGATCTAGCAGATTCCATTTTCTTAAAATCGCATATAAATACAAAAAAACAGTAGCGTAACGAACGTCAATGCCGTTAAGATTAAAGACGTAGGTAATACCCCGCCGCCCCGCCCCGCCGTACCCGGCCGCCGGCCGCTGGGAATTACCGGAAGTCAATGATAAAATAACGTTTTGGTTCACAGTCATTTAGAACTATGTTATAACGTGATATTAGCTAAAATTTTTAGAAATTAAACATAAAGTTCTTAGTGGTATCTTTTTTTAAGTCAGCTTTGTGAAAAAATAGTTTTCTTTTTATACAAGCTGCAAAATGACTAATTAGGTACACGCATTTTACCCATATTACACTAATCAGAACACGAATATCAAAACAACTAATTTTTTTTCGTATTTCTTGATTCCGTTTACATTTTCGAAAAATCTGTAGGCCATTTACTATTATAATTTGGTGTCTTTTTTTTGATGTAATACCATTAGTGGACGTTAATATTTTTAGTGGGCCCAAAAATGATTGTCCCCTTTCAAAACCTGAGAGGCAGTACAAAATATCTTTGAAGAATTTGTTGCCTTCCGTCCAGATGATTTCTTCAAAAAATCCGTGTAAAAAACATGTAAAAATTGCATGGGTGATTACTTTAATTAATAAAAATAAAAAATATAGAAAAAAATTACGTTAATTTATTTCATAAAAAACGGCAATTTCATAGGCAAGACCTAATATTACAAAAGTTACTTCTGCCTAATATTATTCAGTTTGTAAATAAATAAACTTAAACTATGCTTGTAATTTGTAACATATTTTGTTTATTTTGTGAATTTTCTCTTTCTACTCATTAAGAACTATTAAGTATAAGTTCGTTACCTATATGGATTTGTTTATATATTATTAAGTAAATTTTTGTTCAGGTGTTTGCCGGTATCTCGGAGTTGGAAGATGTAAAGTGTTCAGGCAATTGGATGTGGGCGGGTAAGACTGGAGCACAAGGAGCATCATTGGTTGTGGCCTGCGATGCTCTCTGCAAGGCCATGAGCGAGATTGGAGTTGCTATTGACGGAGGGAAGGACTCGTTGTCCATGTGTGCTAATGTCGCTGGCGAAACTGGTATGATTTTTCAAAATTTATTTTTCTCGGTTCATATATCATATATGGTTAAATAAAATAGATGACTGACTATTTTTTTTAATTTAAGAATTTAATAATCTATTAATTTCTTTCCCTATTGATTCTAAATTAATCAGTTCGTGTTACTGAATTTTATACTTAGTTATTGGAACTATAATGTTTTTGTTAGTAGAAATAGCTAAAGTTCTTGGCTTTGTGTTAGAAGGTATTAACATATACTACATCATTACCCTGCCCAAATTCGGTTCAGCTCATCTGAAATAAAAACATTATTCTGATAGTATCCTGCTCTACTTCTAGTTTGAATTTGAATATAGTTTTCTTGAAATTTAAAGAACTTTAAAGTTATATTTATATTAAAGTTGTCAAATTAACAATATCATATTATATTTTACAGTGCGATCACCTGGTACCTTAGTAGTTTCTACATATGCTCCTTGTCCTAACATCACTGTTAAAGTAGAGCCAGCACTTTTGCAAGAAGGCTCTGCACTTGTTTATGTGCCAGTGTCACCAGGCAAATACAGGCAAGTAACGCACTTTATGACCAGAGTTTAGTTTAGTTACAATATAAAAAGGAGTAAAAAAATTACAATACATGTGCTATTTCCACATAGCATATGTATTGTAATAACATAATATGAAACTCATAATGGGTGTCTCAGCGCTGATTTTAAACTTTAAATACCAATTTCTCGGCAACCGGCGGGGTTAGCGGGAGGGGAGAGGTAGCGTTCGGTAGGTGATTAGTGCGGGCTTTTTAGTCGCTATGTCCCAGTGGTCTGGCGCGCACCGCGCGTACGCAGTAGAGGCGTATTTTTGCAACGAGTTTTCGCTGAGGGAAGCACAGCGCAAGTTTTGTAATCGCTATGAAATCCGCCGTTTAAGTGATGCCCCGAGTATTCAGTTAATTAAGTCGTGGGTAAAAAAGTTCAGAGAGACAGGATGTTTAATGAAACATTCAATTGGCCCTCGAATTAGACCTGTTCGATCGATTGAAAACATCGACCGCGTCGCCGCTGCGGTCGCGGAGCATCCACGACGATCAGTTAGAAAACATGCTGCCTCTTTGAATCTTCATCGTTCAAGTATTCAACGAATTTTGGCCTTAGACTTAAAATTACATCCCTATAAAATCCAAATAGTTCAAAAAATCAAACCAGAAGACTATAAGAAGCGAAAAATTTTCTGTCAGAAGATGTTAGGGATTTTTTCAGAGGAAAATGGGATGTCCAATGTTTATTTTAGCGATGAGTCACACTTTCACCTCGAAGGGTACGTCAATCGCCAAAATTGCCGTTACTGGTCACCCAGCAATCCAAAACAAAAACATCAGAAGGCATTACACAGCCCCAAAGTTACTGTATGGTGCGCAATATCGGCGAAGAAAATCATCGGGCCATTTTTCTTCGAGAATGATCGAGTTGCAACGGTTACAGTGACGAGCGAGCGGTATATCGACATGATTAATAACTTTTTTGTACCGCAGCTGCAAGAAGAGGATGTTGATGAGTCCGGTGTATGGTTTCAGCAAGATGGGGCCACAGCCCACACAGCTAGGGTCTCCATGGACACACTAAAAGCGTTGTTTCCGGGAAAAATCATAAGCCGCTTTGGGGACATATTGTGGCCACCCAGATCTCCCGACTTAACCCTTGACTTTTTTTTATGGGGTTATCTTAAAGCAAGAGTTTTTGATACCCCTCTTATGAATTTAGAGCAGCTGAAGACTAAAATAACGACAGAAGTGAGGGCCATATCAATTGACGTTCTGCAGCGTGTTTCTGCAAATTCGTTAGTCCGCTTTGAAGAGTGCATTCGTCGTGATGGAAGACATCTTGACGGTGTAATATTCCGTACATAAAATTCGCACTAATGTACTATAATTTACTACAATTAAAATATTATAAACACAATTGTTTTTTTTTATATAAATATTCAAAGTTTAAAATCGGCGCTGAGACACCCTTTATATGCATATTAATAAATATTATAAATTCTTTTTGCTAAGTCTCGTTTTTTGATAATTTTGTACTTATTAATTATATTTTTTTAAAGGATTGGTGGTTCATCATTAGCACAGTGCTATAGGCAGCTCGGTGATAATCCTCCGGATCTTGACAGTCCAGCAACTCTTAAAGCATTGTTCAAAACCACTCAGAAATTACTAAAAGGTAAGATATATAATAATTTGTAAAAAACATTCTGTACGATCCGAAAGGGGACATAGGTGACAATGACATTGCTAAAAAAAAGAAAGCATCATTTTAATAATTAATATAAAAATTGAGAAATGTTATTTAAAATTCATGTTCTTTACTACAATCTTCTTAAAATTCAGCAAATTTTTAAAATATGGCAACACCGACGTCGGCGACGATGTCTATATATTTAAACTTTCTTGGAACACGGTAATCACTGCCATTTGGTGGTTGAAATAGATTAAAGGGGTAAGTGCTTGTAAAGATTTGGGTATGTGCCCCTGGCACATACTCAGATCCTAGGTCGAGAAAGTCCTACAATCAGTAATTTTATTACAAAATTACATGAACAGAATCATATTATCACAGTACCTAAAAGCATCCTCACTGATCTGACAGGGATTTTTACTTATTTTCATTTATTACTTCGAAATTCAATTCATGCAGGATTAGACGTTTTTTTTTTAATTGAAATAAAAACAATACAATCACACCGTCCACCTGATTGTAGTGAATACTGTGGGCTGGGCCCATAGGCACCTACATTGATTCTCAATTAAGTATAAAAATGTAGATGTGTTGTCATTCCTTAAGACTAAAATGCATGAAATGAGATCTTTTAAGATAATTGATATAATCAGGCGTTACTTTGGGGAAATCCATTATAATAAAGATATCGATTAATTTGCAACCTTCCGCTAGCTAAATACAATGACGTGTCTTACCTGGGTTGAAGAGCACTTCCCGCCCTCCCTCAATTGCGTGCACTAATTCCGTCACCACTAATCCCAGCTCTTCAATCCAGGTAAGACACATCATTGCATTTAGTTAGCGGAAGGTTGCAAGTTAATCAATATCTTTATTATAAGATCTTTGGTTCTAATCACTCATCGCCGTACGAAACAGCAGCGTTATGCTGGCTTTTATCGCTGGTTTCTGTATGAGCGTGGTCCTTTCCAGGTTTATTCGTTCTGCAGCATGGCTTTACTATATAACATAAATTTATTATCTTTCTACATTAATTATTGTGATGCGATTATTTAAAAAGAACATCTTAACTGATGTAGTATGTGATTTCAGAAAAGAAGCTGCTTTCCGGTCACGATATAAGTGAAGGAGGTTTTATAACAACAGTTTTAGAAATGGGTATCGGAGGCTTACGCGGTTTAAACATTGACCTGATAGTTGAAAAAGGTGTTCCCGTAATAAACTCCTTATTTAACGAAGAGCTTGGTATCATTGTAGAGGTTATACAGAGTGATCTCACGTATGTGCTCAATGAGTATAAGAAGAATGGCGTGAGTGCCAAAGTGGTTGGCACCTCTGGAAAATACGGAATGCAATCAGAGGTACTAAACTTTTTTTGTTTTGGTAGGTCTTTTTACATTCAAGATAAAGCAGAATAGCAATCACAAATAATGTCATAGCTTGTAAACGGTCCTTGTAAATCATTGCTGATTATGTGCTATTCCTTGATATAAAAGATTTACAGTTATTGCTATGATTTTTACTTGAATTGTACTTTAATCATTGTAGACTATTTGCACAATATTTCTTAATCTCTGGGCTTAGTTTTTCATGTTTTTATTTTCTATAAAAGGTGCATAATCAGCAGCTGTTTTAAAAATAAAAACACTTTCAAAGCACTTTTTACCCAATGCTACCTTATCCAGGTCCACAGAACATTGTATCAGGGTATTGTTTCAACTACTGGACTATTAGTCTCTTTTTCACTGGCCACTTTCAAAGCACTTCTTTACCCAATGCTACCTTATCCAGGTCCACAGAACATTGTATCAGGGTATTGTTTCAACTACTGGACTATTAGTCTCTTTTTCACTGGCCACTTTATTTTGCATATTTATGTAGATTTTTAGAGTATTTTTATCGTGTTAGACTTAATTTAGGAACATGAAATTGTCTACATATTATATTATTATTAGCAGAGACACGTGTTATGAGATTCTGATATTTTTTTTATAGAATAAGGGTGACAAACGAGCACACAGTCCTGCTAAGTATTTATTACCTGATGGTAAGTGGATGTTGTGGCATAGATGAGGCATCTAGATTTATCCTCGATTAAGAATCAAAACGCAGATGCGTTGTCATCCCTGAGTACTAAGATGGAATGCCTTGTTTCCAGTAAAAAGGGTCTCCGGATCTCTACACTCACCATACGAAACACAGCAGGATATTAAGCTGGTATTCTGTGAGAGCGTGGTCCTTACCTGGTCAAGCCAACCAATTCGTGCTCCAACCATAATATAGCTGCAGCGTAGCTCTACCACGTACAAAGTGCTAGGAGTTAATTTCTTTAAAAGTAAACATTATTATATTTTCTACAGGTAATAAAGTCAATTACAAGAATGAGTTATCATGATGAATTAGAGCGTGTTTATTACTTTCGGTATCGCGTGATTTATGCTCGGCGAAACTAAACTTACGACACGTTTTCATTTTTTTTCTATTTAATAAGGATAACAAACAATTGTACAATATAATCTTATTATTAAACACAATACTATATTTAAGCTTAATAATCATACAATCAACACCGTTATCCACATATTACTACTGGGTCTGTGTACGTAACAATTAAAAACTAAAATGTAATGTTCTATTAAAAACGACCCGTTCACCAATAAATACAGAGAAAAACAAGCTAATTTACACATATGCATGTACATGTGCACGCATATACACACACACATATATACAAACATATAAATAGACGCACATACACATACACATATATAGATAATACATAGATGTGAAAAATTAAATTTAACCTAAATAAGCAATTACATTAACTTGCATCAAATTCAGATAGAACCTCATATACAGCTTTTTTATATCTAGAAGTTAATCCAAAGATATCTATGTCATTAAAGTTGTTGTTGTATAATTCCATTATACGATTTAGAGGTGCACGTGCACCTGCATTTGTTTTACTTGGTTTCGGAGCGAGAATTTGATGTGAATAGAGCGCACGTATACGCTTCGAGCGACTAGGTATATGAATGTATATTTGATTGGTGAGTTCATTACAATCAAATTTGTTATGGTAGATATTGTAAAGCAAAGTTTGATCCAAGAGCATCCTTCTCGATTCTAAAGAACACTATTTTCAAAACCATTAAAATTACTTTTAAAGCATTTGTACATTGTAGATTTTAAAAATTTTCGTTGAACACACTCCAACTGTAAACTATATTTACTATATATTGGACTCCATATAACTGATGCATATTCAACCTGTGATCTTAGTAGAGTTTTATATAAAGTTAAAAATGTAGTGGGATGTTTGAAAGAAGAACATGTCCGCATAACAAAACCATAAAGCTGAAAGGCTTTATTGGTTATGTGCGTTACGTGTTCATCAAAGTGTAGTTTAGAGTCCAAATACAATCCCAGATCCCTGATTAAAGATACTGATTCCAACGAAACACAGTTAAGTTTATAAGTGTATTTAATAATGTTAATTTTTTTGTGAAAGTGATATGTTTGCATTTTGATGTACTTAAGTGAAGTTTATTTTTTATACAGTAGCCTGCCAAGCGATTTAGGTTTTGTTGTATTTTGTCATTTCGTCATGTCATTTTGTCATGTCATTCATTGTTTGCTACTTCCATGAATAACCACTTCTTGTTATGAACTATGATTATATTCTAATATATATTAAACTAGCCGGCCATGCAGATGTTGTTCTGCCCTCTCCGACGTCTCGGTCTTATGAAAAAAATATTGAGGGTCACTTATGTGGATAAAAACTACGAGGGTGGATTGAAAAGTACTCGGCCTAACCAAGAAAATAAACACATACTAAATCAGTTATATTTTTATTTTTCTACATAATCACCATCAAGTTCAATACACTTTTGCCACCTCCCCTTCCAAGCATTTAGTCCGTTGAAAAAAAATGATTCTTCCTTAGAGTCAAAATATGCGTCTACAGCTGCTTTGACCTCGTCGTTTGTCGAAAATCTTTGACCTCCCAAGTGCTTTTTTAGGTTAGGGAACAGAAAGAAGTCTGATGGTGCCAGATCAGGTGAATACGGCGGATGCGGTAACAGTTCAAAGCCACAGTTGTGAATTTCAGCCATTGACTGTACTGACGTGTGAACACGGGCGTTATCTTGATGAAACAGGACTTTTCTTCTGAGCATTCCTCGACGTTTTTCTTTTATTTCCTCTCGTAAACGACGTAGTAAGGTGCAGTAGTAATCAGAGTTTATAGTCTGACCCCTTTCAAGATAATCAATCATAATCACACCTTTCGAGTCCCAGAATACTGAAGCCATCACCTTATTTGCCGACAAAATCGACTTAGCCTTTTTAGGGGGTGGTGAACCAAGTCTTCTCCACTGTTTTGATTGTTGTTTTGTTTCCGGTGTACAGTAATGAACCCATGTTTCGTCCATAGTAACAAAACGATTCAAAAAATCATCTGCATCGGCTTCAAATAACTCCAAACAGTCGCGTGAAATAGTCAATCGCGTCCTTTTTTGTTCAACTGAAAGCAGTCGCGGAACCCACCTCGCAGACACCTTGTGGAAACCCAACTCGTTGACAATGATGTTTTGAGTTCGTTCATAAGAGATGCCTATAATCTCGGCTATCTCTCTAATTTTTAATCTGCGGTCTCCCATTATTAAATCAAGTACTTTTTTAATATTTTCGTCAGTAGTTGACGTCGAAGGCTTTCCAGAGCGGGGTTCATCTTTCACACTCTCTCTACCACGCTTAAATTCTGCTATCCATTTTTTGACGGATGAATATGACAGAACACAATCGCCTAATGTACTGACCATGTCATCATGGATGGCTTTTGATGATAGCCCCTTCTTATGGAGGTACTTAATGACGGCGCGCTGCTCGATTTGCTCCATTCGCAGAAATTATGTCCGATTACTTTGTTAATAAGTTTATAAAATCACAACTAATTATCGCACACGTTTCGAACTTCACACAATGAACTAGTCTGAACTTAACTAAATAATGTGGATAGATTTGATTTTTAGAATTGAATGGATCTGTGTTAGGCCGAGTACTTTTCAATCCACCCTCGTATCCTATCTCACAAGTTATCCCAAACTGCACACAGTGTGCAGAATTTCATTGAAACCAGTTTAACTACGTTTAGGAATTTATCGCGGAGAAATAATGTTAGACATAATTTTTATATGAAAAGATATTAATAGCATTGCAAGTTATAAGCGTCTTGTTATATACGCAAGTTACAAATGTTAATGAATTTTAGGAAGGTATAAAGACTAATATAATTCTATACCTTGTGTTGATTTCTACTCCTTTTGCTTTTACGTTGTTGTTTCTATTTAATATATTGTTCCGTAGTTTGTAATATCAACATTTTAAAGTTACCTTGTTATTATAGGTTGTACTAAAAGTGAATGGTGATTGTGTTCTCAACACAAAGCTAATAAATGTCTACAGAATGTGGGAAGAAACAAGTTACCGGCTCGAGTGTCTACAGGCAAACTCTGACTGTGTTAAACAGGAATGGCTGGGTTTGTAAACATATTTACAGTAACATTACATATTAACTGTAATAGTTTTGAATTGCAATCCTGGGAAATTATTTTCTATTACTTTTCTATCCCTAAAAGCAAAATTTTCTTTCATGTAATTGGATATTTGAAGGACAACGACAATGTTTAAAAATATATTTTATTTATAATGACGATAATACATCACAGATTTTTGTATAGAAAAAATGAGAATGTAACAAATAAATTGTGAATTTATTGTTAAATCTCGAAGTTTTATATTAATTTCATTCTACCAACAGGTCTCGAGAAACGTAAAGGCGTAACCTACAACGTCACATACGACCCATCGGCTGCTATTATAAAATCAAAGTCTGTAAAAGTAGCTGTAATTCGTGAAGAAGGTACAGTTTCCTAATTATAAATTAATAACAATGATATAAATTAACAATAATGAAAGTGTAATCAAATAAACATACATTATTAAATTTGTGAAAAATGGCGTGTCTCGCATAGTGATGCCACAAGAGAATCGTATCACATATTTTGTCCTTTGGGTGTCTTAAGGTGGCACAAGTCGCGGGCTCGAACTCATTGGTGGGCGCGGCCAAAAAGCACGTTGTCTCACCTGGCATCGTGCCCGACAGAGATAGTACCAGTGAAGTGTAGTTAGAACGCACGTCTTGTTCGTACGGCGTTCCGAACCGTTAGAACAAAAACGAAGTTACACGAACACGATGCACACATACATACCACCCTATTCTGTGCCGCTCGACGCTTCCTGAGAAATCAGCAGTACCTACCTACAAACTCGTATTAAATTATTAGGTGCTGCGTTATCTCTATGGCTCTATAGATACCATTAGATAAAATAAGCAATCTAAATTAATAGATTGCTTATTTTATTATGTTTTGTTTTCCCCGGGTGGTCATGCAGCGATCACTCAAGAGTTCACGACGCCGAAGCATGAACTGGAACAGTCATCGCAGTTTATATCCGTACTAGCTGTTGCCAGCGGCTTCAAACGCGTGAACTCGAAAATTATCCCACAGGAACGAAATACCTGAATAAACGGTATCAAATGTGTTATTCCAGACCAGGTATAACCTATCTCTGAGCTAAATATCATCCAGATCCCTTCAGCTGTGATTGAGTAACATACATTTATCCATCCAAACTTTCGCATTTATAATATTTAGATAATAATTGTAATTAGTTCTGCCTACCTATAAATTGTCTTCAAAAATACTTACCTGTCTTCTTACTTTGTTTTATATACACACAATATCACTAGATGTAAACACATGTTTTTATCAAGACAAGTGACCCGTCAAGACTGTTTCCTTAGTACCGACGTACTTAGGCAGGTAGGTAGGCAGTTTAGATTTTAGTTTCCACGACGCAGCGACAGTTTGCCAAATTTTGTTGTATAGGTTGTGGGTATCTAGGTAATAACAGTAGGTAGACTACCTATCCACCGTCCACGCCGCGCAAGTGATTCTCGTCCCACCTGTCCGCGCAGTAACTTTTTTTACGACCGCGCGAGACTGTCGCAACAAAAACGATTACTACCGAAAAACTAAATAGGTACCTACCTAACATTCAAATAAAAATATTCTCAAAAAGCTCAACGAATTCAGAATTTAATTTTGTTAAAAGAAAATTGGTCAAATAAAAAATAAAGGATGAAAATAAAGCATATGGGAATATAAAAATAAATCGTATTTATTTGTTACTTATTTCGAGTTTTACAAGAAAAGTATAATATTTACTGGAGACAATTATTTTATTATTATAATAGTACATGATATTCCCTTTAAAATGACACCAATATGAATAATATCTTATATCTATATCTACAAATAAATAAAATTGAAGTGTCTGTTTGTAATGTTAAAATAACAGCTTTTTATTAAATGCATATGAAAGTACTATTTTTGTCTGTCTGTCGGTCTGTCTGTTTGTTCCAGCTAATCTCCGAAACAGCTAGATCTATTTTGACGGGACTTTCACTGGCAGATAGCTGATGATATAAGGAATAACTTGAACTACTTTTGTTTTAGAAAAAGAATTAGGGTTCCGCGCAAAAAAAATTAAAACCCATGAAATCCATATTCCACGCGGGCGAGATCGCGGGGAAAAACTAGTACTCAATATAGATAAATGTATACTTATTTTTATTTATTTATTATTTTAATAAATAAATAAAAATAAGTATTAATAATTTCTAGACACATCTCAACAGATATTTCGTTTATAAATTGCTATCAATATTGAAGCATTCTTTTATATTTAGGATCCATTTAACACAAAGCTGATAGGAATACTTTTTAAACAACATAATATAATCAATAAACGATAATCGCGTATAGTGAATTTCGAGGTAAATTATTATATGTAAACGTTTTTGAATCGTCGTAATGAAACATATTTCCTAAAGAAAATATCTTCACAATTAATTTGATGTAAAATACCATTAGAAATAACGTATAAAAACAGAAAAATTATCAAATTTTTGATCGAGTTCCTAACCAGTACACAAACAAAAATGGCGAAATATCATTTTCAGATTTTTTTCTATATAGTTATTTGTTACAGAGTACACAGATAAAATTCACTCTCACAGATGACAAATTTCAAACACCACAATCTCTAATTTTTTACTCTGCTATCTTCAGCGCTGTACACGAACGGAACGATGTTGAGAGCCGTGGTAGCTCACATGCTTAGCGCTCGTTATAGGTATCACAGTACGGGAGCAACCCGGGTTCGATCCCCACTGGCACCAATGAAATTGTTGCGTGCTCATTTAGCTATCAGTTGGAAAGTCTGTTTTTCTGGGCCGTTTTGTTTTGTTACACTGACATCTCGCAAGTCACCTAGGGACCTAGGAGGTTGTCGGTTGCTTATTTTTTTATTTTTCTTTAAAATTTTCGTCGGTAAAATAACATATTTATAAAAGTAAAAAAAAGTAAAGTTACAGCCTATATACGTCCCACTGCTGGGCACAGGCCTCCTCTAATTTCTGAGAGGGTTTTAAGGCAAGGAAATGTCCGCCACGCTGCCTCAATGCGTGTTGACGAACTTCACATTTCTTCGAAATATATATTTTTTAATTTCTCAGACATGCAGACCCGAGTTCGATCCCCGCCGGTACCAATGAAATTGTTAATTGCAATTGTGCTGATTTACCACGTGCTCGGCGGTGAAGGAAAACATATTGAGGAAACCTGCACGTCTGAGAATATAATTATAATCGAATGTAAATCAACTTGACATAGGTAAGTACAGATAAAATTAGCGGAACATTAATAAAATTTTGAGATCGTTTTTTTTTTCAAAATTTTATTTATATATTCCTCTATTTTTGTCTGTGCTTATATCAATTTGATTTAATCCAAAGTTCAAGCAGGGGTCAATGTAGCGTAGTAATTTAGAGGGCAGGTATAGCTATAGTCATACGAACGTCACAGGCCGCAGCTCAGGCCGACTGAGTCGAATAAAACTAGAATAAGCGCGCGTCACCGCGCATGCATGTGTGTATAAGTGTCGTCTTCCCGCACCGCACCGGGGAGAACATTATTCAGTGAGATGCACGATAATACATATAAACACGCGCGCGTAAAAAAATACGAAAATGCCTTTGGAAGGAGGGGTTTTACGAAAAAACCACTGCATGAATCAATTACCAATAAAATTTATTGAATTCTTCGATAATTGAGCTGTGTCGGTACCGACTTTGTTTTGGAAATTTTACACTGCTTTTATTACTAATTTACGCCCAAAATTGTGTTAAAATTGGCAATAAAAACGAATCTTTGGTAGCTCGTAACTTTTTTACTGACTTTTTATTTTACTATTCTGTTTCGGTACAGACAAAATTAATAATGAAACAAAACGATATCATGTTTAACTTTGGATGTACACTGTCAAACAGCGGAGTAAAACCCCTCCGAAATTTCTATGGAAATAATGTCGACTAGAGTCACCTTAAGAAGCCACTGCAGGAAATCTCAAATATATTTCAAGACTTCCGATAAATTGGTATATTCATTTCGTTTACCTCCTTTAAATATCTACAGCAGCGCGGAGCAGAGTCAAGAGGTTCAAGAATACTTGTACCTCGTTGTGTCAACCTGCGTGCCCAGCATGGGGATTAGGGCAGTTTCGGCATACAAAGAAAGGAGGCTATCCAGCATTAGGCTTTTATTGGCTAGTGACGAAGCAGAGGAAAATTTATAAAAAAGTAGAAGAATTTTCGATTAATCATAAATACTCCTATTGTTCAGTGTTGTTATTTTTTTTTCTTAGGAACAAATGGTGATAGAGAAATGATAGCTTCCCTGATGATGGCAAACTTCGAAGTATTTGACGTTACTATGAGCGATTTGCAATCAAGGAAGATAACTTTAGATGCTTTTAAAGGATTGGTGTTCCCTGGGGGTTTCAGTTATGCAGGTAATGTGAAAAATTAATAATGCGCAAGTAAAGTAAAACTTTCTTTAATAAAACAATTTTAAAACTACTTTTACGGATTTTATCGCGTTTATTTTTACTTTTTATTTTTAATTCCCGACGTTTCGGGCGCTTTCCAGCACCCATGGTCACGGGGGACTGAGATGACTGACGTCCCGATGTCATTGTTAAACCCGGAGTACCTTCAGCTTTTTTAATTATTGTTTATGGTCCGATCTATGCAAAATGAACTGACTATGGCCTGAGGTCTTGCAGTGGTATGCTTGGGTTTAGTTTTAATTTTATTGATTATAGGATCCCAAGCAGGTGGTAGTACCCAGCCTCCTTCTCTATTGAAATTAGGATGTTTTTTTAATTTCAATAGCCTCACGTATCATCCTTGGTAGGAATCGGTGTTCTTTCGCGAGGATTTGTGGTCTATCAAATCTGATGTAATGGTTGGGGCCGTCTAGGATATGATCACAAACTGCAGACTTCCCGGAACGTTGATGCTTCACATCAGCTATATGTTCTTTTACGCGGGTCCTAATTAGGACCACGACTTACGACCTACCAAGGATGATACGTGAGGCTATTGAAATTAAAAAACATCCTAATTTCAATAGAGAAGGAGGCTGGGTACTACCACCTGCTTGGGATCCTATAATCAATAAAATTAAAACTAAACCCAAGCATACCACTGCAAGACCTCAGGCCATAGTCAGTTCATTTTGCATAGATCGGACCATAAACAATAATTAAAAAAGCTGAAGGTACTCCGGGTTTAACAATGACATCGGGACGTCAGTCATCTCAGTCCCCCGTGACCATGGGTGCTGGAAAGCGCCCGAAACGTCGGGAATTAAAAAATAAAAAGTAAAAATAAACGCGATAAAATCCGTAAAAGTAGTTTTAATCATGTGCAATGTTCGCGTAAATATAAGAAATCATTATAAAACAATTTTTATACTTTTGGTATTGCACGTTATTGTCTTTTACTGTTTATTATGTAAGAAAATGATGTTTAAAATTACAAGATAGTGTCTTGTGAAGCTAACTATTGATATATTTAAATTATGTTAAGTGGTTCGTTTACGTAAAGTAAAAAACTAGATTCAGACTACACATATACGTCCCATTCCTGAGCAAGGGGCTTCTCTCATTTCTGAGTTTTCTGACAAGAAAGAGTCCACCTCGCTGTTCCAGTGCGTGTTGGCGGATTTTACATGTCTTTCAAATAGTTTTCGTATTTATTGATTACCAAAATAAGTCACAAATATTGTTTGCATAATTTCAATTATAAAAAATCTTGTTTTGTGTTATGGATTTGGGCATTGCTAACAACAAAATATATCTTATATTTTTTACAGACACTCTTGGATCAGCCAAAGGTTGGGCAGCGGGTATTCTCTTCTCAGAAAATTTGAATTCTCAATTTTCTCATTTTAAGAACAGAGATGACACATTCTCTTTGGGCGTTTGTAATGGGTGTCAGTTGATGGCACTGCTCGGTTGGGTGGACATAGAAGATTCTACCAATAGTGCTAAAAGGACACAAATATTCCTCGATCACAATCTCTCAGAAAGGTGTGTAGTTTAGTATTTTATAACAAACGATTCATAAGGTTAGAGAACAGGAGAACGATCACTACGTACTAAAGCATAGCCCGCCTGTCCTTGAAAATTGTAGAATTTATAGCAGTGCTGACGTCGGTGAGTATGCGAAGTTAGCTGTTTGTACAGTAGATGAAGTTAGTTGAATAATGTACAAATCTCCGCGGCATTGGTGAGAAAATTTTCATGCTGCGTACTTTTGTAATTTTTGACTAAAAGAAACATTAAAAAATGGAGAAATATTTTATTGTGCGTGGATGTGCAGTGCAGGTTTAGCATCTGATCGGAAAAATAGACTGAAAATGACTTATTGACCGAACTTAGTGATCGCAGCGCCTCACTTATGGTGGTACGCCTCACATATTTCTGGGACACTATTTTCTACGGCGATCGTTCTCCTGTTCTGTCTAACCTTCATGATACGATTGTCATGGCCATTTCGATGCTGCTTTTTCCGAATATTATCGAAAGATCCCAACTGCATAGGCTATATTACAGAGATATTGCCCATTTTTAATCTTACAATATACATTATGTTTAATACATCCATTGACAATAGTTTTGCCATTTGGAACTTTATTAAAAAATATTGTCAAACAAAATACTACTTTTACTTACTAGGTATTATATATGGTTTTTGTTTAGACACAAACAATTTGAAAGGAGCTTCTTGCCTCCGGATTTTTTAAAGATTTCAGATGTTTTTCTACAAAAATATGCCAATCTATTAGTATTAGAAGTATTTTTAATTGCTTATTTTTATTTTCATATTTTAACACCTTAGCCAATTACATTACGCAAATCTTTTGTCGTTGTATTATTAGGGCTATCGCTTGAGAGACATAATAAAAGAAAAAGTTCCAATATGCTGTCCTGAGGGACATCACATAATATTATATTTTTATAAGATGGGTTATTTTGTTTTAGTTGAATTAATAGTTGTTATATTTTTGTAAACTGTAGATTGGTTATGTAACTTCTTTGGTCTAGTGGTTGTAGTAGTGCGACCGCTAATCATGGTTCGATTCCCAGGTCGGGCCAAAAAATCAATTATTGAGTTTTTCTGTCAAGAAATTCTCAGTAGCTGCCCGGAGTCAAGAAGTTGGCGGTGTCTCAACCTCGTGCCTCTAAAAGCACGTAAAGCCGTTGGTCCTGCGCCTGATCTCTCTCCGGTCGTGTCGGTTTACCGTCCCATCGGATTATGAGAGTGAGGGAATAGAGAGTGCACCTGTGCCGCCAGCGCATACACTTGGGCACTATAATCCTGTCCTGCGCCGATGGCTAGTCTCCGTTGAGGCAGGCCGCCTTGGCCGAAATTCGGTCTGGAGGACATTATTATGTAACTTCTTTTATTATATGGATGCTTTTCCTCGGATTTCAGAAATAAATCTGTATGCGATCAAAATATTAAGGCGATGGTATATAGATGGATACTAGGTTTTTGAATAGATTTTGTTATGACTAACTACAAGCTGTGGTGTTGGTATAAACAACACCAACCGGTACTTGGTGGTGGTAAAGCAAGTTAAAATTAAAAGCGATAAGGTCCGTAAAAAATAGTTTTATTTAATGTGTAGTGTTCGCATTCAGAACTCGCGTTTATCCTTAATAGGTTGGTAGAGTCTATTTAGTTTTTTTTTGTGATATCCTCTTGCATATTTCCATCTTGATATTGGCAGAGACTCATCGGTTAAACGATGGAGATTTTTCTGTTGAGATAAGAAGAGTATTATTCAGGTTTTTTTTTATAGAATAACGATGATAAATGAGTATACAGTCCACCAGATGGTAAGCAGATACTGTAACCTGTGAACATTTATATCAGTTGCGTTATCATTGTCACCCCTGCGGACTAAGATAGAATGCCCCATTTCCAGTTTAAGGTGTCTTCTGTTCTCTACATTTACCATAAGAAACACGGCAGCATTGAGCTGCTATTTTACGCTGGTATTATGTGAGAGTTTGGTCTTACCCTGGTCGAGCCGACCCATTCGTGTTACACTATAATATAGTTGCAACTTGGCTCTACCGCGTGTAGCTGCAGCGTGGCTCTACCATGTGCTGGTGTGTGGTCAGGTTCGAGTGCCGTTGGAGCGCGGTGCGCATCAGCGAGGCGGCGCAGGCGCAGGACGTGTGGTTCCGCGGCATGGGCGGCAGCGTGCTGGGCGTGTGGGTGGCGCACGGCGAGGGACGCTTCGCACTCGCCGACGCGCGCCTGCTGCAGCGCTTGAACACCAACGGACAAATCGCCATGCAGTACGTCGACGATGACGGAGCACCCACTGACGCCTACCCCATGAATCCCAACGGCAGCCCTGGTGAGAACGCTTGAAGTTTCTTATTATATAACATATAAATGTTTTACATACATACATAATTGAACATGAACAAGCATCCAACTCGGTGAGCGACGTTGAGCTTCCTCGGCCAGCAGTAAAAGACCATGTCTCAGATACATAAGTCATTACTGACAACACACTGGTTGTACAATCTTTTTATGTACCTGACGAGAAGATCTGTAATGATATCCCGAACGCTGCCCATCAGAGTTGAATCCGTCATTTGACCTCTTGGTCGAAGTTGAACTTATTTATCTAGTCTGCTACTTGGCCCCCCACTAGATAAAATGACGACGACAACGGGATATCGATGGACGCAGGTGGCTCAGGACTGTGCTTAGTGACATTCCTTGGGGGAGGCCTATGTTCAGCAGTGGACTTGTGAATGGCTGTAATGATGATGATGATGAAACATCCGGACCAGGAACAGTTATGTATAGGCCATACAAACACCTGTTCCGTGCGGGATTAGAACTCCCACCGACGTCTGAGTCGTCAATAAATTTTTCAACATTATAAAAGGGCCGATTTAATAGATCACATTTGACACTTCATCAAGATTCAACAACATAACCTTGTTATGGCGGGCATAAAATTTTATTTATTTTTTCGAAATCAGAGCTGCACAAATGCTTAACTTTTTTCAATTACGATTACATATTTATTGTAATAATGACAAAAGATGGCAACTTTACGATTTACTTTCACTAATAAACCATTTAAACAGTAAACAATTTTTGTTCTAAAGAGAACTGAACATTGTTACAATGTTACGTCAGTGAACCCTATTTCTTTTTAAACACTAGGAATGTTACTCAAAAAAAATAAAAATCGAAAGATGATAAGTAGATTCGAATGCAGTAATTATGTATGTACTTACGAAGGAATATTTCACCATAAATGAATAACTACATTGAATACAAAAATAACTAAATAGAGATAAACAAGAACAATAGTCTTGTTTTACCATGTCGAAACGAGGAAACTTAAAAACGTTAAAGAGTCAATCTCGCGAACTAGTGGTGATATTGTGCTAGTGTGTAATGGTGATAGTATGCGAGTCTTTTATCATTGACATAACCGAGATAACGTTTGCCGAAGCAAAACACCGCTAAACCAATCGTATTCCTTTGCAGAGGGAATCGCGGGCGTTCGATCTCGTGACGGTCGGCATGTGGCTATGATGCCGCACCCCGAGCGATGTGTGTTGCGCTGGCAATGTGCCACACCTCCACCTGCCACATCTGCCACACCAGTCACATCTGCCACACCCGAACCATCGCCTTGGCTGCGTTTGTTCCAGAACGCCTACACCTGGGCTGCACAACGATAAACTTAGAAAACTAGCCCAATATAGTTTACTCTATCTATATTTTAAAGGTTTTATAGGTTTACACACGATAATAAAAGAAGCTTGATAATTATTAAGTATATTATTTTTACACTGCGACATCAAATAGCGTTCATTAGAATCAAGTTTCATTGTAGTTGTGAGAATTTACTGACCAACGACAATATTTTGGTTGAGCTTTATAAGCCCATTTCCACACAAAGTATTTGGACATGACCTTTTAGAAAATTAAAGTCGCGAATGTAATTTCAACGATTGTGGTTATGAATGTCTAGATAAATTTATGCTAAGATTTTTAATGTGCCTTGAATATTTGTGCCAATATTTTGTCATTTATTATTTTTATTGTAATTTGTAATAAAAAAATATGTAATCACACTTCAACTTGAATATACAAATGAGCTGTTTTTCTCTCAATATTAGAGCGCTAGTGTTATAACTATAATAAATATTGACTCAACATCAATTTGACTTGGGTAACTGAACATTTTTTAAATATTTTCGCATTCTTAGTAATACAAGACTTAATAGTTTTAGAGTGCATACTTGATTTATTGCCATATCTGAGTTATACAGATGTCACTTATAAATTATCATGCTCGTATTGATTTTCCAAACAAAATTAACATGGATTTTAGTTGACTTTATGGCACAGTATGGGGAAATCGTAAATCACAAGAATTGGTAAAAACTTTCTACCCTAGGCTAGCTTTTTTGTGAAAATATTATGGTATAATTTTTTATTGTGTCCTGACAGTTCCTATTTTTAATGAACTTTTTTTAAGTAAATTAATTTGTTTTTATTTAATTGGTCATTACTGTCAATTTTATGGATTTATGGTTGCCATCTGATTTAATACCTGCAAGGCAAGGGCTTGCTTGGGTTTTAATTAAATAAAATGTGCTGTATGTTAAGTGTGTCCATTTGTGAAAATGTGAAATGTCTTCCATTCAATTTTACATTCCAAATTTGTATTTGTATTCTGTGAATGTAAATAATTTTATGAGAATCTTGTATGTAAACAATAAATGTATTCACAGTGGGAACATTTTTATTTAATCATTTAGCTCAATTTGCTGCAGCCCGCATACAACATACTCTATGTATATTATTTTCATGTTCAGGCCGTGTTGCCAACTTACCATGTTAATCTGCCACAGACAATATGCTCAAGAGCTAAGGGTTGGAAAACAGTAAACAAGAATTTACCTTGGATCCTTAATTTACCACAATTCTGTCGCCCTTCAAGCTAGAATCTTCCCCAAAATATCCTGAATTTAATGTAAAAAAAAAATTGTAAGCAATTATTGACAAAACTAAAGAAATGCGTAGATCCAATCAATCTACTATAGTTTACAGCAAAATATCAACATAAACTCACGTCCTTTACTCAGTAGGTACACTTCTCTAGCTTATTTACATCCATATATCATCTACGCATCCACGCTCGTTGGTTAAGGGTACTCTTAACTTGGCCCATCTTCAATATATCGCCAAATACGTCGATAAACTTAAGTCTTTAACAGTGACAGTTGATCCTTTTGAGAAGTGAATCAAATTTTGTTCATTAAATTTTTGTGTGTCTAACTAATAACTAGGGATGGGCCGAATATGGATTTCACCGAATACGAATATTCGGTTAAATTTTTACCGAACCGAATATTCGGCCGAACATTATTCGGCAGGATAACCTCGGGACTTAACCAATTTATGTCGAAACTTGTTACCGTAAAGCACACGGGATTAGCGCCGGACCATGCCTCTCGTTTCCCGCCACACCTGACATGTTATTGCATTATCTAGTACTGAGCAAATTGCCGGCACATGCTTATGTTTTGACTATTCTTGTGATAAAAAAGTATTTCGTTGTTTTATTCTTAATTAAATTTATAGCCTATATACGTCCCACTCCTAGTCACAGGCCTCTGCTCATTTCTGAGAGGGTTATAGGGCAAGGAATTGTCCACCGCACTGCCCCAATATGCTTGTTGGCGAACTTTACATGTCTTCGAAATAATTTTTTTCTTATTTCTCAGACATGCAGGTTTCCTCACGATGTTTTTAAAATTTTTGTAAATCAGCACTTAAAATTGCAATAAATAATTTCCTTGGTGCCAGCGGGGATCGAACTCGGTTTGGTTGTGCACTGTGAAATTTACAGCGAGCGCTAACCATCTGAGCTACCTACCTACTCTTTATTCTTAGTGAATAAGGTAAAGAGCCGTAAGAATTTTATTCTTAGTGAAAATTAATAATTATATGATAAAAATGAGCGGCAGGAGATTTACTATTTGGACTTATTTTAGAGAAACTGACGACCAAAGTAAAGTGAAATGTACTAATGTAATTTAATGTTTGTTTGATTCCAAAAACATTTTATCAAGTTTCTATTTGCACCACAGTGCCTCAAAAACATAAATTATAGATTTATGCATTTGAGGCACTCTTAGAGTAAGTAGATTTAACCCATAAATAAAATATACTTTTAACAGTAAAGTACATCGCATTACTTAATTCCTACATTTCAATACATTGGACACTATGAAAATGTTCGGTTCGAATGTTTGGTGATTTTGCCGAATATTCGGCCGAATACGAATATTCGGTAAACCTGCCGAATACCGAATATAAAACGAATATTCGGCCCATCTCTACTAATAACTAACTAGTTTTTTTCGGTTCTACTTCCAACACAATCCTATAAACCTCTAAAAGTTTATGTTTCCATTTTGTTTTACAACTTTTGCAACTGAGCAAACAATACAGGTCGACCAGGTGACATTATATTTTCCCCTGCACTGAATATTTTAATGAACAAGGAACTAAGAAAATTACATATGAAGAAATAATATTTATTTATAGATTTAGGAACAGGTACATGTGTTTGAATAACAAAGTTGAAGGGTAATAATTATAAAGTAATCTTAATCAAAAAATATCAAAAACAAAATAAACTTTACATCTGATTTATCTTTCATGATGTAAAAAAATTAGTTTTTAAAATCAACATGTGGGGCATTTAAATTACCTGCGTGGATCAGTGTCTGACGCAACAATAACCCTTGCCAACTCTGACACACTTCAGTAGCACTCTTTCCTCATTTATTCTTTCTATATTTCTTCTAAACCTCCAAATTCAGTTTCCAAACAACTATCCAAAAACTGACTGAATTTCAAACCAGTCTGTGTAGGTCCCATAGATTTGTGTAAAATCACTAGAATCCCTCTATAACAAGACTAATGCCTGTATTAGCAAAGCGCTAAACCCAAATGAAGTCCAATCCAATCTATTATAGATCTTCTCCAAGTTTCAAATACACAGCAGAACACGTTCTGGTTAAGGCCACAAACTTCTTTGTGATTATGTTCATAGAAGCTAACCATATATTATATTCACTTACTAAATCCAGCTTGCACATCCCAATTTAGTAGTTAGCATACAGCTTTCTGACAAATATAAACAGGCTGATTTCCTGCTTTAAATGGCTTCTGTTATTTCATCCGTACTTCTCTCAATATTCCAGAGCTAGCTTAGTTTAGCATAAAATAATCTTTATAAACAATAATGTACAAAGATACCTAAAGAACTTCAAATATGAACTGCAGCACAGTAACATCAGTTTTATTACCTTATACTTAAGGATTAGTTACTAGCACTAACTATACTTAAGGACATAACACTTGCATTATAAGTATAAGAATTTTTAGAAATATTAAACAGGAGTAAATAGGCATCGAAGTGTAACCCCAGTACTGATGTGTATGAAACAAATTTAATTATCTTATTCTAACCCTATCTAAAATATAATATTAACATTATATAAGATTAAATCCTCATAGACATTATCTCTTGTAATGATCTGCTTATGTCCTTTCTTCGACTTTTTTCAAGAGCATCACATAAAACAAAAAACCATCGTTGGGGATCAGCTCTTTTCTGATAAATTGTTAAAAGTTTGGAAGCTTTGTCACACAACTTCTTATTATTATCGTCAATTTCATCAATCACACATTCTCTAATTTTGAGATTTCTAGCCAGGTCTCGCCAGAAAGTGCCAATTTCTTCTACAATTGTTTCATTTATTCTTTCCTTTTTCTTCGGACTTATTAGTCCGCATGCATGATCATTGAGGATTTCTTTTTGTTCTTTGATAGAAATATTTTGTTGTCTATCAATATCTGAAACACAATTATTGCAATATGAAAAAAAATAATATTAATAAATAAAAAAAACGAATTCATTCAATTGTAATACAATATTCTTTTTGGAGGATGGAATATTATCATAGAAATTTTAAACTGAGTATAGAAAATAGAAAACAAAGTGAAAAGAATAAGATTTAAAAAATACCATATTGATTTATGTATCCCCTTGGTATTTGAGATGATTCGTAATCACTGATTTTGCATAACAGTTCACTATTATTTGGAAGTCTGGAGGCCACTACTTTTAAGGCTGCAACATTGTCTTGGGATAACACATCTCTAATTTCCAATATTCTTATTAATTGGCCTATAGTGTTGATTTGTTCATATCTTCGAGGTGAATCAATTTCGTCTTTGTAATACTCTTTCAGTGCACGTAATATTTGACTGTGTTTATCATTATGTCCTGCAGTTATTACTATTTGTTGTTTAAGTTGTGAATATTCCGAAAAGGTCATTTTTAGAACAAGAACAGAAAACGTAAAAATATTACTATTACTTATTATAAATATTTTATACGAAATTAGTTACGCTTTTAATACATTACTTTACAAAAAATATCAACACTCGGTTGAAAAAGTTTATTTTAACTATACTGATCAAAAATTCTAAAAGAATATAATCACTAGAGAATAAGTATAGTAATTAGTAGTTGTTTTCGTAAGTTGAAAATTTTAAACCATCAATCAAGTCTACGGTTGCCGTTCTACAAATTTTAAAGTCCCTAGACTAACAGAAAAAATCCGCCAGAAACATGATTTTTCTTTTTCTTAAAATCCGCTAGAAGTCCCTAGGTACATTTTCGTGATACCTTTGGTCTAACTGAAAAATCTTGCCAAATGGTATACAAAGAATACCGAAAATATAAATCTATAAATTCAGAAAACCTTAAAAAGAGCGGACTCTATATCGTATAAATTAATTATATATAGTGTAGGTTAATGACATGACAACCAAAACAAAAATTATTCATGTGCAAAATAAAAAATATTGTAAAGAAATAAATCTCTTTAAACCACGTTTAAACATTAGTCATCTTATTAAAAATAAAACAATTAGCTCAGTACGTTTTTGTACCTAAATTTTAAAATTAATAGCGAAGTATGGATCCAGATCTTCAAAAAGAACTTCAGCGGAAGTTGAAGCTTCGCCAATGTCTCCAGTTCCCATCTTTGGTTTACCTTTACCGACTTGGTTGACAAGATCTTCGGGAATATCATACGTTGCGCAATTCTTTTTTAATCCTTAACTGATTTATAATTAGACGGATGGAATTTAAAGGTTTTTCTGATCGCTTGTTTCACAGTTTGCTTTTAACTACATTCGTAGCACCAAATACTGCATTTAAAAACTGCGTTCTAATTCTGCATTTGAGTGCGGTAGTGAAAATATTACTATTGCAAAATTACATAAATCTTCGAATATGTTTACTCCTGCTGCATTTATGTATGTCGAAACCTTAGAACATGGTCTCAGGTCGAAACAGAGAAAGTGAATTAACGACATTGCATTGTTACTTTATGTTCGGGAATTCCCGTGAAATTATATTATATATAGAGTGCTACCAACGGTAGATTACAAAATTGGACATATGATAAATTACTTATTTGAAATGAATTACTTCATAAAAAAGTCGCGATTTCAAAAGTCCAAATGTCGCTAGAAGTCGCTAAATAATTACTTCTCCCTAAAACGATTTTTTTATCCGCTAAACATTGTTAAAATCCGCTAGATCTAGGGAGAAAGTCGCTAAAACGGCAACACTGATTCAAGTCAACCAATTTTGACATCTATAGAAACAAAAGACAACAAACCACAAAAGACAATATTTTTAGGGATATCGATGATCATCAATTAAAACGTCGATATTTTAATATCGATGTTGCCACATGTCAAACATCAAAGCATCGATGTCAATGAACCAATAATCGATTAATAAGTACTTGTGAACAATGCGAATCCACGAAATCATTATCAATTAAATATTTCATCTCCTATTAAAGGTTTATAATTTTGAATAATTCAGGATTCCTAAACGCATCAATCACCTTAAAAAATATCATTATGGTGTGTAAAACTCACTGTCAAGTGTGAACTATAATGTCGCAGTTGTCACTGCTTTCGTTTTGTTACTCTGTGGTGTCGTTGTCGGTTTTCGTCTAATATTAATATTGATATTCAAATATATTGTTTTTTTCCTTGCTGTATATACCCTCATAATTTTAAAACAATATGTATCATCTACACAATTCAATTATATTTAGCTGTTTTTTGAGCTTGGGGTAACAAGTTTATTGTTTGCTTGGAGTTTATGAAAATAAATCACTGAGCGATCGTGAGCATCGACAATTTTACTTCATAGTGCATTCAAATGTGCATTTTATAAATGGCTGTGGATACTAATTGCTGGGGCTGCCTGATTAAAAATTGTGAACAAAGGTGACGGAAAAGTCTAATATTTTGTTTTTGTGAAGTTTGTTAATTTTTTCTCTTAAATCATATTTTTTATTTCGCGATTGATATAAAACCTACGTCTAAATAGTAAATTAGGTCAAATAGTAATTTTTTTCATACCGGGTTTATGAGTGTGTAGGAACATTTAAAGATCAAAATAATAACATTCATCATCATCGTTAAAAACTATGAAAAATGAACTAGATGTAACTTTTTTAACTTATTCCCATTTTTTAATTACTGTTTGACAATTTTTTTAAATTCTTTTATAAATTTTACTAATTATTTTATTCTTAAACCATAAACAACACTAATATTTTATATTCATCTAACTTTAACCTATTAAATAGATACATGTGCAATAACAACATAATAACATCGATAAACATCGAACATCGATGTTAAGCTATTGATACCAACATCGATGTCATCATCGATGTTTCCGCAACATCGAGCATCCCTAATTGCGATGTTATGCAAGCAAAGGAATGCCATTAAATAATAAATATAAAATTTACTTTGTTATAGTAATAGTAAACACCATCAGTACATATTTTAAAGATTTTTTTTTATATAGAGATAATATATGATTTAAAAATATATACTAGAGTCCAATACTAAAGCAAGTCTACACCAAAACAACTTTACTAAACGTAACGTAGTTAACAACACTCATTTTTACCTCTTTTCTTGATTCTTGGGGATTACCCACCTAATAAATTTAAAAAAAATGTGTTGTGATCACAGCACTGACCTCTATATATACAAGTACGCTGGACTGGCTATACCATAGAAAATGACTGTGCCAATTTGAAGCGCCGCTAAAGGATGTCTTGAAAAATAAAATTGACATAATATGCCAAAGTTTGTTGTCATATTCAAAATGTCTTATTTAATAAATCAGTATTTTGAACTTTTAAACTAAAAAACGAAAGTATTTTATGTTGTTTAATTGTGTATAATATTAGTTACATAATAAGTATTATTTTTATTAATAATGAGAGTGTGCGTAATCTGTAAAACTCGTTACCAAAAAAGAAATGGTATAACATTTCACAAGTAAGTGAATTTGCAGCAAATATTAAACAAATTAAAACTATTTGATAATATAAGTACTTTAAAATTTGTTACCTAATATCATAAATAACCAACACCTTTGGCTGTATATTACTGAGTTTTGATAAACAATAAAATTCAATAGGGTTGTCGAGTTCCTTGTCTATAATACTTATCGATGTTCTTTCCTACCTATCTGTTAACAAACAAAGTCGCCAACAACAGATTATTATCATATGTTTATTACTTAACAGTTTTCCAACTGAACCTAGGCTAAAATTATGGCTTAAAAGCATAAATATTGTGAATTGGCGTCCGAAACAAAACGATCATATTTGTTCCAAACGTTTCACAGATGACTGTTTTATTAGACATGAGAACTGCACCACTTTGAAAAAGTGCAGTATACCGACAATATTTTCTGGTAGTAATAGTACCAGTAAGTATAAAAGTATTAGATCATTATTTCGAATGCATTTTTTTATTCCTTCTTACCTCATTTTCCCACCAAACTCAAGGGCCATATCCAAGTGTCGAAAGGTCGCCTGATCAAGTCGAGCCACGTTGCATGTGTTTTAGTGGGCTGAAAAAAAACTGTATCTGCGACTGATCTTCGCTGCTGGTAATAAGAAGTTGTTTAGTTTGTCGTTTCCTCGCTTGAAGGCTAAGTATAGCCATTCAGAGAGGACATGTAGCCATCATTCTTGGGACGATACCACGGAAAGTAGGACTGTATGATAATTTCAGTTATTTTTTTTTAATATTGTTATTTTTATTTCGAAAATGACGTAAATAACTGATAACTATGTAATTCAAAGTTTATATTTTTTATAATATCTTGCTAGCTCGTACCCGGCGCATTGCTGCCGCAGAAGAAATCATTGTGGAAATATCGTTAAAAATGTGGAACAGTTACATTGTATAATTAGGAATGATAATACAATCATTGAAATAGAATGATATATAACTTTCTATAACTTTAAAATAAGTAGTCAGTAAAATACGCACGCCACCTAGTGTCAGTTAATTGTACCGTGCGTACCATGCTTCGCACAAGTGCAACCAATAAGTTGACTAAGTTTTATAGCAATCTGATGAACGGTATAGCATCGTAGAAAGTACGAACAAACATAAATTTTTATATAGTCCAAAATATTTTACTGTCTATAGACAGACCTGTAGTTGATTAAAATAGGCGTTATTATAGCAGCTACTACTACTAAAACTAAATGAACGGTTGACAATAAATTAATTTAGAAATTATGTTTTTATTTTTATTTTGTGTAGTTAGTTTAATCTTAATAATTTTTTAGTTGAATGGTCTAAGGGCTACGATGGCTATCCGAGTACAAAACTAATCCAACTGTAGAGATGTGTAAGACAGGGTGACGTAATATCCCCGAAATACTTTACCGCTGCATTGGAAGACGTTTTCAAGCTAGACTGGAAAGGATACTATACATATGGCGTGTACGTCACTTACCTTCGATTTGCCTACAATATAGTTGGTGGAGCGATGAGCCTAAGGTTACCGAAGTCTAATTCCCCGGTCGAACCTTAAACCTATTACGCGAGATATTAACCAAAGTGGACTGTATCTGCGAAATGCTTCTACGCTTACATAAATGACGACTATAGCACGCGGTACAATGCACTCGCTCTTCCCCAAAACGAACTATTATTTGCCAAATCTATGAAGGGAATCCTGCTTGATTAGGAAAAAATAAATTGGGGCGGACACAATTATACCAAGCAGTAACTATTATTAGGAATGTTTACTCACCGGGGTGTTTCTTCTATGCTGCTTGGGCACTATATAGCTGCGACTTCTGGAAGATACTCTGGGTAGACTCTCTAGGGCCCCAGAGATACGTCGGGAGAGAAGCGGTGTGGTTCCAACGACGAGCGTGGCGGGAAGAGAGCGCGCGTCGGTCGCGCGTGCCTTTTATTCCTTCGGTTGCGATGATTACGTGATATTCTAGAATCATCTTCTTTCCCCTCCCACCCCACCACCCCGATGTGTCGATAGGAGGGTATGAATGATATCGTTTGGAAAGGGATAAACGATTTGGCAAGCCCTACCGTCAAAAAATAAATACGAATGGTTTTCCGCGCAACCATCTCCCCCGCCCTTGAAGGATTTCCTTCAAAATTAACTAAAACAACTAGAGCTAAAATCAAACTAACAAACAACTAACCAACGCTAAGACTACCTAAATTCAACTACAATTTCTAATCTAGAAAGCTAATTTAAATTATGGAAGAGGCAAGGGGCACAAACGGACAACAGGACGCAGGTAAGACCCAACCGTGGTCTTAACGCGAGCTACTCTAATTACTCCGTCGGAACCGGGAAAGACCTCTTCGACAATTCCTAACGGCCAATGGAGAGGCGGCGTATTCTCTTTGGTGAGCACAACTACAGTTCCTACAGCTAAAGGCTCAGTTGCTGTGTTCCATTTTTGCCGCGACTGCAAAGTATGCAAGTATTCCATCCTCCATCGTTTCCAAAACGATTGCACTAATAATTTGTGGCGTGCGGAAATGCTAAGTCTGTTCTCATCCATATCTACGGCGGGCAAATACTTTAAAGGCGTTAAATTCAAAAAATGTGCTGGAGTTAGAGCCAGCGGTTCCGAGGGGTCACTAGACAACGTCCGACAAAGTGGGCGGCTATTCATTACCCATTCAATTTGAGCGAGCACCGTACTTAGCTCTTCGAAGGACAAAATTTGATCTCCTATTACTCGGTATAAGTGACTCTTTAGACTTTTAATATTAGTCTCCCAATTGCCCCCAAAATGACTCGCGGCTGGGACGTTCAGAGACCACTCAATGCGGTTCTCGGCTATAATGTGAGCGAACTCCAAATTATAATACTTGCTAGCTAAGAGCTCATGTAGTTCTGATAAAATACGTTTTGCACCGACGTAGTTCGTACCGTTATCCGAATATAATTTACTTACAGGGCCACGGCGGGATAGAAAATCTTTTAAATGCACCCATAAAGCCTGCTGTGCTTAGATCACCAACGAGTTCTATATGCACCACTCGAGTAGTTAGACATACGAAAATGCAGACGTAAGCTTTTGTGGATCTTATACCACGTCCGCGAGTGAGCGTGACCTTAAACGGACCAGCGAAATCAGACCCGGTGTGCGTAAAGGGCTTTACCGATTGTATTACTCTACAAGATCTAAGTTCCGCCATTTCCGGAAATGACGGCTTGGGGCGTGCCCGAAAGCAAGCTATACATCTGTGCACCCGATTGCGTATTAAACTACGTGCAGAAAGAATCCAATAATTCTGACGCAAGATCGACATCAGCAAGTCGGGGCCAGCGTGCGAATTCAATTTATGTTGGTAATCCACTAATAAATTCATGATATGGTCTTTACCTGGTAAAACTATAGGGTGCCGTTGGTCGAAACTCAACTGCGAGTTGGACAATCGTCCACCTACCCTTAAATGCGCACGTTGAAGTTCACGCAATACTAGCGACTCGGCATAGTCGTAATCGGACGCTAAGACATACGAACGTCGCGGTAAAAGCTTCGCGAATCGACAAACGTAAATTACGCTACGCAATAATTTCGACCAAGAGGACAAGCGGTTCGCCAGCGTGTCTCTTCTCTTCCGGCGGTTGTGACACTGACGAAGGTTCGAAATCGGTTATTGGCCATTGCGAGGGATCCAAGTGAACCCAAGAAGGTCCGTGGAACCAAAGCGGGTGGTCCATTATTTGCATCGGGGTGAGTCCACGGGATAGACAATCGGCAGGGTTTTCCGTACCGGACACGTGATAAAAGTTCCGCTTTTCTAACTCGTCTTGGATCTTGGCCACTCGGTTCGCGACAAACGTATCCCAAAGGTGGGGTGAAGAATGAACCCAGCATAAGGCGACGGTGGAGTCGGAAAAGGCAAATATCCTTTCTATGTGAACTCTATCCCTACATGCGCTTAACTGCGGTAATAAGCTTGGTGAGTACTAATATTGCGCAAAGCTCTAAGCGCGCCAGAGAGACAACCTTACGGGGGGATACTCTCGACTTAGAACTAATAGGGCTAATCGAATTTCTACCATTATTCTGGACGTGGAAATATACAACGCCCTCGTAAGCCTTCTCGCTGGCGTCTGCAAACCCAACGACCGTTATGACGCTATTTCTATCGACGTTTATATGACGCGGTATTTTAATTTCTCTTAGTAAAGGAAGTTCCTCTCTAAAACGCTGCCACAACCGAACAATGCTCTCAGGCGGCGAGTCATCCCAGTCGCATTCAAATAACCAAAGTTGTTTAATCAAAAGCTTAGCGTATAATACCACCGGAGCTACGAAACCCATGACGTCCCATAATCTAGCAACGCATGACAGTATTGTGCGCTTTGTGCAATTCTCTACGGGCGGATTTACCTTAAGGCTAAACACGTCGGACTCTGGTGACCAACACAGACCGAGCACCTTGTGTGTATCAGAATCATTGAATTCCTTTATCGCCGAAAGACGGTGTGATAGTGGGATTGTATCTAAAACCGGACGCGAATTACTAGTCCACTTCACAAGATCGAATTGACCCGATTTCATGAGCTTTATAACCTCGGCAGTGGTTAGGGTGGCCTCCTCCACGCTATCGACCGAGTACACAAAATCATCCATATATAAACCACTCTCAATTGCCCTCTTAGCTTTAGGATAAGAGGGACCTTCATCGTGGGCGAGCTGTCTCACCGTGCGTAACGCATGAAATGGGCTCGACTTTAAACCAAAACAAACGCGGTTAAATTCAAACACCATTAGAGGTTCCTTTGGGTTGAAACGATATAAAATGCGTTGGAATCTACGGTCGCATTCACGGACCCCTATGCAAAGAAACATTTGGCGAATATCGGCGGATAGTGCTATACTAAACAAACGAAAATTGGCTATTATATTATATAAACTGCCCTGTAAATTTTGCCCACTATAGAGGATATCGTTAAGCGACAGGTGAGTGCTAGTTTTAGCACTAGCGTCGAGCACTACACGTAACTTAGATGTAAGTTTGTCCTCCCTAATGACCCCGTGGTGTGGTATGAAATACGACGGTGTAGTGCAGCTAACGGCACCGCCTGGCGGCGGCAGGATCATCGTTCCCCTCACGTTAGGAAGGTTGCAGCAGTTACGATTTGCGACCACATTAAAAATTACGCCCAAGGTGCTACGGCTGTGTGGAGAGGGGCCATTTTCGATTAAGCTGCCCTAAGCGATCTGTAAAAAGGAAGGGTGATCGATCTCGAGAGGTTGTGCGGCTAAGAGCATTGTGATTGAACACCGCAGCGGGAAATCTCATGGCAATGCAGATGCATTGTCAAGGAGACCTTGTCTTGAAAGTTGCAAGCATTGTACTAGGCAAGAGAGTAAGGAAGTGGTATCCGTGAGGATGCTCAGGACAGACCACCTCAGCAACGAGTGGATGGACAGCTAACAACATGCACAGCAGGAAGATCCGGACATCAAGCCGATTCTGGAATGGATGAAGGCCCGTGCTACCAAGCCTAAGTGGAGCAACGTCTCAGCGATGAGTTCGACCACTAAAAGCTATTGGGCCCAATGGGACAGCTTGCTGATTCAGGATGGCGTCCTGTGCCTTAAATGGGACAATGGTCGAGGAGACAGCTGTCGTTTGCAAATGGTTGTCCCTAAAGCTAAAGTGCCGAATGTTCTACAGCTGTACCATAATAGTTGTTCAGGAGTCCATCTGGGAGTTAAACGAACTGTACTGAAGATCCGAGAACAGTTTTACTGGGTCCATTATCGTGACGATGTCGAGGATTGGTGTCGCACATGTACAAGTTGTGCGGCTGTGAAGGGACCTCAGACACGTAGTAGAGGAGCATCGAAATTGTACAATGTTGGTGCACCATGGGATAGGACAGCCCTTGCATTGCGAAGCCGTTTCAGAAAGGCACAGGAGGGACTCCTAAGATTGTCCATGTGGATCGCCTGGCGCGTTATTATGGGGCCGATAATGCTCGGGACGGGCATGTCTTAGGAGGGGGCAATGTTGCGCGCCTAAGTTGACGTCAGGTACCTGGCACTAGCGCCATCTAGTGTCGGGGAGAGCTTCCTAGAAAATGTCAATCTTACTTTCGATCAACAGCGCCATCTAGTATCGAACAGAAGAATTAAGCTTTCTAGAAGCCCCACACTCGAACTTTCTGCGTCTGGTCGGTCGGCGCCCATATTTACTGGAATATTCTGGATGTTTCGGTGTAAAAGGTGTATTTAAAGCCGCTGTAAACCGCGATCGGGGCAGTATTGAATTTGGCGAGACAAGCGAAGCTTCGGAGCGAAATAAAGTGAATCAGTGTGATTAATTATTAGTGTTTTTTAAGTTTTAATTGGTGTTCGGTAATAAAAGTGTAAATTTTGGTAATTCAATCGGCAGTTTTTATTTTCACGAACCTCAAGCTCGTAACAATATTGTAATCTTATTTAACAATAGTGTAATAAAATAATATAGAAGAATAATTCAACTTTCAAACTATTATTTTATCTATGCAATTCTTAATATATGTAGTAAGATATTAAGAACATCATTTTATTATTATGAATGTAATATAAAATTTATGAAATATATATTTTGAAACGTAAATATAAGTCAATGTTTGAAACACCTATTTTCAGCAGAATAGGTTATACGAGGGCGGCACTGAAAATTTCGGGAATCAAGGAAGTGACACAACATTACTATTTAAAAATGTATTTATTGCTTTTCGAAGTATTCTCCGCGAAATTTGACACATTTTTCCATACGATGGAACCAATTATTGAAGCAACCATTCCATTCGGAAGTTGGGGGTCTCCAAAACGGCCGTTTTGTAGGCGTCCACAGTTTCTTCAGTCCACGCAAAACCTCTGTCCACGCAATTTATTCTTTATTTTAGGGAAAGTATAGAAATCATTAGGGCTTAGGTCGGGGCTGTACGGCGGATGGTCTAATAATTCTATGTTTTCTTGCTCTAAAAATTATTTTGTTCTGTGTGCGGTGTGAGAACTCGCATTGTCGTGATGGAGGATGATGCGGCGGTTGCAGTTCTCTTTACGGAGTTCAGAAACGACCTGTGGCAAACAAATGCTAGCATACCATTCTGCATTAACCGTTCTTTGTCTCTCAATAGGAATAGTCGTAACATGGCCGGTTTTGGAGACAAACGTGGCCACCATTTTTTTTGCAACACTCCGTGAACGAACAATTTTTGTTGGCTTTAACTCATTTTCGAACACCCAAACTCGTGACTGGTTTTTTGTTTCGGGTTCGTACGCATATATCCGGGATTCGTCACCTGATACGATGTTGTATACAGCATTTGAGGATCCTGCGTGGAATCTTTCGAGAGTTCTGACGCACCAAGTAACGCGAGCCGCTTTTTGCTCTTCACTGAGCGAATGCGGTATCCATCGGGAAAACAACTTTTTTACACCTAATTGTTCATGCAAGATTATTTGTATTTGACTCATGCCAATGTCTAAAGTTGCCTGAATTTCGCGGTATGACACATGTCGATCTTCCTCAATCAGCTTACGCACAGCATCAACGTTTTCTTGGGTGACTGCAGTTTTTGGACGACCTTGACGGGGATCATCACTAAGCTTGACACGTCCACGTTGAAATTCAGCAAACCAGCGATAAATTGTGTCACAAAATGCAGAAATCATTTGGTCAACACACTGTTTTGTGTTAAACCACTTCGAAAGTCATAATAAATCATCGCTCTTGAATTTTCTCGAGTCAATTCCATTTTCTCAACGACTAAACAAGTTTGACAAAACCTTGTGACAAGACCGATAATATTTTTTTTTTAAATAAATAAATGGTATTCGATTTTTAAAACCAAGGAGTTTTCAATTAAAAAGATTTTAATATGACAGGAACAGTGGAAATATTCCATTCCCGACACTTTTAGTGCAGCCTGTGTAGGTTTCATTATTTATTTCACTATCTATCATTGAGGAATGGTAATATATAAGTCAATGAGTAATATAGAAGTCAATGATTATCATACTCTGAGTAACCTTAGATACATCAAATTAGTTTTCATAAAATTGAAAACTCAATATGAACACACTATCACTATTGTTTAATTTGACAAGCGTAACAAATAGGTAATCTGAAGAATTTAAAAAGGCTATTGCTTTTTCTTACGTATGCGTCTAATCAGTCCTACACATCTTAAAATTTACCTAACAGAACAGACTGTGCTGCTTGATATAATGAAAATACTCAATTACACTTTGGTCAATTCGGGAATTGAAGCAGTCGCACTTGTGGTTACCAGATCAATGGGACAGTTACAATATATTTAAAATCGAAGTAAAGAGCGGGCTACTCATTAATATAATAATAATATTATTATTATAAAATATTTTTGTTTGAAATTATCGTTGAACAGTATTATAAACTCTGAACGTTTACGAGTATTACATTATTAATCGAAACAATCAGTTCACTAAATTTCGCATTATTAATATAGAACTCAGATTGAGAATCACTGCCTTTTACTACAAATATATTTCTCCTATTGATAACGATAAATGGGGGAAACCCATATGGGTTGAGCTGTTACTGACAGCTGTCATCGGTAACTGGTAGCTGCTTCTTGAAGACAGCAAGTCGTTGGCAAGAACAGGTTGCCGCCCGTCAAAATTATACGATTTTATTAACCATAACCTAGACACAAGACTCAAACGCTTGTGAGTGCCACAAGAAAGGAGGATACTTGTGAAGCTTTTTTCTATTTTTTCTTCGGGCAAACGAATCTCATTGCGAAACAGTAGTACTTAGATATAAAAAAAATAAAATTTGACGACGGTAAATTAGTTTTTTCTTATGTCGAAGAAATAAATAGATACCTATATATTTAATTATCTTTTAAATTTGTGAGCGGCTGCCTATAGAAGTAAGTTCTTAAAGATTTCCGTTGGAAGTTTGAAGCGAGGAAGTGGTATACACATACATGGAGCATTCTTATAGAGCTTTGTTACGCGATCTTGTTCAAGCGCTTACATACGATAAACCACTCCAGCAATGATCTGATGGGATTGAGAGTCTAGTCTAGTTCGTCAAACCAAAGTAACAATATTGTAACTAAAAAACGCATGAATTTAATTTTAAATTATACCCGTTATGTCATCACATAACAGGTTTTGCGGTGAAACCATAACTCTGATTTTCAGTGATGATTAAAGTCTTAGCGAATACAGTCCCGAAACCAAAAAAAATTGTCTTCGATTCTCTACATTCACCATTCGAAACAGAAACATTAAACTGTTATTATACGATGTTATTATGTGAGAGCGTGGTTCATTCAATGTCATGTCAACCTATTCGTGCTACAAGCATAATATAACTGCAGCATTTTGGTCTAGTGGTCGACTGATGATCCTGAGATTCCCGGGTCAAAATTAGTTATTGGGTTTTTCTAACAAGAAATTCTCAGTTCAGAGTTAGAAAGTTGGCGGCGTTTCACCCCCGAGCCTCTGCAAGTACGTAAAGCTGTTGGTCCTGCACCTGGTCTTTCTCCGGTCGTGTCGGATTACCATCCCATCGAAATATGAGAGTTAGGGAATAGAGTGCACCAGAGCTTGCGCGTCCACTCGGGCACTATAACCCTGTCCTGCGCCGATGGCTAGTCTCCGAACCAAAGACTGACTTAAGACTGGCTGCCGTGACCGAAATTCGGTCTGGAGGACATTACATAGCTGCAGCAATGCTCTCTCTTGTATAGAATTCATAAGTAAACTAGTTACTGTAA